GCCTGATCTTGGAGGAGGGCAATGTCGTGAAGACTTGCCAGTGGAGACTGGGAAGTTGGGATGGACAAAAACACAGGCATGGCCTGAGGAGTAGAAATAGCCGTAGCTTTGGCAGCAGAGTCTGCCAGAGCATTTCCACGTGTAACTTTATTATAAGGTTTCTGGTGGGCTTGGCATTTAATAATAGTAATAGCAGAAGGCAATTGTGATGCATTTAGCAAGGCTTTTACATATGACCTATTACTGATTTTAGTACCTCCTGACGTGAGGAAGCCTCTTTGCTTCTAAAGTTGACCATAATCATGTACAATACCAAAAGCATAGTGAGAATCAGTAAAAATATTAACAGAGGCACCAGAAGCTAAGGTACAAGCCCTCATGAAGGCCACAAGCTTGGCAACTTGAGTTGAATGCACATCAGGCAGGGGATGGCTTTCTATGACATCATATTGGGAACATACTGCATATCCTGCTGCAAGGCAACCTTTTGAGCTTCTGTGACATGATCTATCAACATAGAATACTAGCTCTGGGTTTTGCAAGGGAGTATCTTTTTGATCAGTGTGGGGCATTGTTAAGTGAGCAGTGACAGTAATGCAATCATGGGGTTCACCATCTGAAGAGGTAGGTAACAAAGAAGCAGGGTTTAAAACAGGGCATCTAGTTAGTGTAACATTTTAAGCAGAGAGGAGCAAGATCTTGTATTTAGTCAATCTAGCATTTGAAAGGTGTTCGGTTTTAGTTTTTAGCAAAAGGGCTGCCACAGCATGTGGGACAGCTACAGTGAACAGAGAGCCTAATACAAGGGTACAGGAAAGTTCAACAGTGATAGCCACTGTGGCTACAGCACGAAGTTAGGGAGGAAAACTAGTGGCACCTGGGTCAAGAGTGGAACTATAATAAGCGATGGGATGATGCTTGTCTCTATGCTTTTGAGTGAGCACAACAAGTGCAAATCCATATGTTTCATGACAAAAAAGGAAGAAGGGCTTAGTGTAATCAGGAAGGCCTAAGGCAGGAGCTTGTGATAGAGCTTGTTTACTAGAAACAAAAGCGGCTTCAGCCTCTGAAGTCCAGGGCAAAGGTTCAGGGGTATTAACAAGAGTCAGGTTTTGTAGTGACTTGACTATAGAAGCATAGCCCAGTATCCACTGGTGGGAGTAGCCGGCCATACCTAGAAAGGTATGCATTTGGGACACAGTGGTTGGCTTAGGGATTTTAAGAATGGCTTCTATTCTGGAGGAAGAAAGCAGTTGCTCTCCAGCAGAAATATCATGACCTAAATAGTGGATACGGGAAGACAAATTTGTAGCTTTTCTTTAGATGCCTTATGGCCTTTTAGGGCAAGAGATGTGAGGAAAGTTAAGGAATCAGCTTTACAGGCTTCAAGGGAGGTAGATGCTAAAAGCAAATCATCTACGTACTGCACAAGCACAGAACCCCCCTTAAATACTATGTCATCTAAGTCTGTCTTAAGTATCTGAGAAAATAGAGAAGGGGATTTAGTATAACCTTGGGGCAATCGAGTCCAGGTATACTGGAGTCCTTGATAGGTAAATGCAAAGAGAAACTGGCTATCAGGGTGTATAGGGATAGAGAAAAATGCAGAGCACAAATCAATGACTGTGAAATAACATGCATCAGGAGGGATACAGGACAAGGTAATACCTGGGTTTGGTACAACAGGAAAAGTAGGTAAAACTACAGAATTTACTGCACGGAGATCTTGTACAAAGTGATAAGTATTCTTTCCAGGTTTTCTTACAGGACAAATAGGCATATTACAAGGGCTCTTAGTAGGAACAATGATACCTTGCTTTAAAAGTGCAGTTATAACAGGGAGTATCCCATCTTTGACTTCTGGGTGTAAAGGGTATTGAGCATCTTTAGGTAAAGGTTTAGCTGGGTTTAATTTAATTTTTATGGGCTGGGCAGTATGGATTTGCCCTACTTCATTAGCGTGTTGAGACCAGAGAGATGGAGGGACAGTTTGTATGATTTCTTCTTGTAACACAGAAGGATGAAAAAACTCAGGCGCAGGGGGAGAGCTATCTAAAACAACGAGCACAGCCAGTTGATTATCACTGGGAACATTTAAATAAACCTCATTAGGAGAACACTAAATAATACAGCCAATTTTACAAAGTAAATCTCTTCTTAATAAATTAACAGGAGAACAGGGACTTAGGAGAAAGGCATGTTGATCTGAAATAGGACCTAGAGAAACCTGTAGGGGTTGGGACACAGGGTGAAGAACTATTTGATCTAAAATTCCTACAGCATTTATAACATCAGAGGATAGGGGAGTTGTAGAAAATTCTTCAGCTCAGCGAGTAGAATGGCTTGCACCTCTGTCTACTAAACATTTTGTAGAGATGCCATTTATTACGCAGGAAACGAAGGGGTCTTCTTGATTAAGCAAGAGAAGTGGGGCTGTGATGACATTACTATTCCTCAGGCTGTCCTAACAGCAGACTCTTTGATTCGGGACAGAGAACTGAGTGGGGGGAGGTGGTGGCAGGTCAATTGTCATCTCCGACTGGCCAGGCCGATGAGGACAGTGGGCCTTCCAGTGTCCTGGTTGACCACAACAGTGACCACTCTCACTAATTTGAGACTGAAACCCTCCTTGTCCCATCACATGACCACATCCCCTGCTTCTAAATTGTCCCCTAAGGAAACCTCTGCCTCTAAAAGTCTGCAATTGTAATGACATTAACTTAGTTTCTGTGATTTCCTTTTTCTTTTCTCAACAGGTTGTACAATGATTAGCAATGGTGATTAGTTCTGCCAGTGTCTTAGTTTGCCAGCCTACAGCAATTGTGCGCAGTTGTTCTTGGACTTCAGGAAGGAGTCCTTGAACAAAAGCAGCAGCAACTGCTTCTGGGGCCGTTTCAGCTACCTTCTCAATACCTGAATGTTTTTTGAATACTAGTTTTAAGTGGTCCATGTAATCCGCTGGGGATTCTCCTTTATTTTGCTTCCAATTATTTATTTTTGCCCAGTCATTTTTTCTAGGGGAAATCTTAAGTATCACCTCAAGAAGACGTTCTTGGGCACTCACTAAGCGACTATATCCTCCGGGATTTTGAGCAGGCCATTTAGCCTGCTTGATGAGGTGATCACAAACCTCAGAGGGCAGAATATTTCTCATTAATTGGTTTAAATCTGCCCAGGTTGGCTCATAACAATTTAGTACAGTTTCTAATTCATCTTTAAACTTCTGGGGTTCTTCCTGGATGTTGGGGAATGGCTTAACATGGTTTAGGAGATCTCCCGGAGTCCGGGGGCATGAAATGTGACTGTAGATTCCCCATTTGGACCATGTCCTGGGAGTTGATGTAAGGGCATTTGGATTGCCTTTTTGAGTTTAGAAGGTGGGAGTGGACCATATTGGGTGCCGGACCTTAACTAAGAGGAGGTCGAGGCTTCAGGAGGCAGACACCAGGGTTCCAGTGGGCATGCCCAGGAGTGAGGAGATGATTGTTGGTTGATAGGTTCCTGGGGTGAGCTTTTCCCACAGGAAGAGTCTGTTTGATCACTCTGGATTTCTTTGGATTTAGATTGTGCCTGGGACTGGTATGGGGTTGGTATACTAATGAAATCAATTATGTCTTCTACAGATTCATTCTCAGTCAATGGTGGATAAAGTGCTGCTAGTGCTGCTGGTGCTGTTGTTATTGATGGGGGATCCCCTCTTGGTACCTTGGTTTTCAATTCCTTTAGCTGAGATTTCAGTTTGTCTTGGGAGTCCTTAAGGCTCCAAACTTGAGATTCTTGATGTCGTTTGGAAGCTTCCTCATACCAATCAAAAATTGAATCCCATTGAGTCTGTGGTGCTTTACTGCCTTTTGACTAAAGGGCTCCACGGAGATGAATGATTTTACTTAAAACAAATTTTCCCTCCCGGGAAAACTGCAAACTAGAGTCATCTTTGGTATACCTATTCCATTTGTCTAAAAACTTACAACTGTTATGGCCATAGTGTGTGTACATGTACAATGCTGGAGTCCCTTTTGGCGGAGCCGGTACATCTTTAGATCCTCCGCTTCCCATTTCTTTAACTCAATACACACAGGTCTTTCACACAGGAATGGCTTATAGAGGGTGTCCGGTCAGGTTGTGAGATTTGCTAGTGGCACAGAAATGCTGTAACTAATGTCCAAAGACAAGACTCCACTGCAATAACGGCACAAAATGCAGTAACTCATGGTTAGATACAGCTCATTTATGAGGGTGGAGAAAGGGCAAACCTGTCCACTGGGTCACGTGGTTCCAGTTGGGCCCCCTTGCATTCAAAACTGACCTTCCGGACAGCCTTGGGGTGGCTGAACCCAACCTTAGTCTCAGACCTGGTGAGTGACTCATATTTATCAATTCATATTTTCAATTCACACAAGGGAATTTCTGCATTGAGGCACGAGGTTCAAGAGCATTTCTCTAGTCCCAGCCTTAGTCAACGCTTATCGTGGAAAACACTCACACTCTAACAGTTTCCACCTTGCACCCTTGCTTTCGAAGAGCATGAAGAACAAGTCCGGTGTCCTCAGGGCGGCTGCACAAGTTTTTCACTCCGAGTTCCAAAAAGAAGCTTAATTCACATGGGGAAACACATTTACTGACAACAGCAACACAGTCTTTAACCTTTTTCTACTCACAGTTCTTACTTACAGTTACTACTTACAAAGTTGGTCTGAAAATTCTGGCAGCAAAAGGTCGGATAGAGTAAGCCTCAAGCAGTGAACAGGAAGACACAGAGACAGCCTCTCACTGAAAAGCCCCAATAGAGATTTCAAAAGGTCTCTTACCTTGGTTTGGCACCAGGGCT